CTATCCATGTGATCAACAATAGCAGGTAGAAGTGTTTTTCAGGAACACTCAACAGCCAGGCCTGCTAAATGTTAAAGAGAATCAGGGAAACAGTGGCAGCGGTGAACTATTAGCTCCCTGAATTAAGAAGGGGCTGCTATTAAGTTCTGACTAAATGTCACTGGGTGAAGAAAGCAAGTCATAATTCTCTCTCATTTTTCCTACTTGCAACCCAAATCAGACTATAGAAGACAATTGCTTTCTGGAGGTCACTGGGTACATTTCGTGGACTGCTTTTCAGGGATTGTGACTAACAAGAGCCCATCATTCTGTAGGAGAAGTTGTTAAATTCATAGGAAATTACTTATACAACTAGGAAAGAAGAAATGGAGATACTGTAGGAATTTGGTTGATCAGTTTACATCTCTCGGGACTTAAATAATTTTAGTTCATGCAGAGTTCAGTTATTTACGTGTGAAACATCAAAACCTTTTCATTTCCCTGTGTTCTGTCTTATGGTTTTTTGCAACTTCACTTCAGATTTGATAAGGCTAAAGTTGGGATAATTATGTTTCTCTCTCTCTCCCAGCACCCACATAAAAATTGAAAGACCTGAGGTACTTTTGTTGGGTTGGTTTTGTTTTGTTTAACTTAATGGAAATTAAATAATGAGTATTTTAGTGGCTATCAGCTATCTGGTACTGGTAAGGTCTGAGTTAACTGCAGGTTGCAGAGTAACCATGGTGACTTGCGAGTGGCTTGATTCTATTAATCTTGTTGAGATTAACAGTAAATCCCCAAGGATCTTTTGCAGTGATCGAGAAATAAATCATCTTTTCACATGTATGTTATCGGGTGACAGCCACTCTCTTTTAGTATGTATTTCTACCTAACAAAGAAATTATATAGTCCTCTTAATTAGGTGATTGGAAACTCATTTCCCAAGTAACATTAATGAAGTATAGCAAATGGCCAAAAAGAGTAAAGACATAATACTACATGAAAGAAAGATTTAATCGACAAACATATGCCGTGGTACTAAGAGATATACCAGAGGAAGACTATCCCCCTTTAAAAATGTACTTATGTAGGAATGGATGTACCTCAGTGGTACAGCATATGCTTAGCCTGCACAAGGCCATGGGTTCCATCCCCAGCACCTCAAAAATTACTATGTAGAACCATAGCCTGAAGCTACAAACTGAAAACAAAATTTGAGGTTCATTAATGAAAATCTCCCAATCATTTATATCATTTAGATAATAGGAATTAGAAGAAATAAGTTGAGCTGGACTTAGGAAGAACATCCAACTGCCCAAGATGGGACTAAGGATGTATCCTATTTATAAAGAGAAGTCTACAAAAAAATACAGTGTGAGTCTACCTAAAATCATATTTGTCCTACACTAGCCCCAGAGTAAGAGCAAAATATGGTAGCCTCATTTCACAGGTGAAGATAGCGACATTGAGTACTACAGATTTCTCTGTAAGGGGTAGGAATTGGCTTAGCTCACTCCTTCTTCTGACCTAAATGCATAGCACAATATAGATAAAATGTGCATCAACTCTGACTCTCAACTAACAAAGCTTCTACTTACTCATCTCCAACTTTTTCTGGAATAATCTAAGCTTGTATTTCAATATGGATTTTCATAAGAGATACAAAACAGCTCAATGGCTTATAAGTCTAATATATAACATTTTTTCTTTTTTAATATTTATTGGAATGTGTCTTATTATAAATGGCATTATTTTATGATTACTATACACCAGTTCCAAACTTGGATGGATGTCATTCCCTACACATTCACTAACCTGGCCATAGGTATTTATATTGTTTTCACCTTGGGTGAATTATGCAGTTGTTGGTATGTGAGTAGAAAATTATTTTGTGTGTAAAAAATTGTATAAATTTGATATTAGTGATATGAATGCTGATACTAGTATTCATTTTGGAATAATGACTATAACTTAGTATTTTCTTACAAAAAACTTAAGTGCTCTGTATGATCTAAGAATTGAAAATATCCACAAGCAGATAAGATATGTTATCATTTATTACCAATATAGGTATGACATGATTATATATCCTTTGGTAGACAAAGCAACTAAAGGCAAAAAAATGTTGAATTCCTCACAACACATGAAAGAAAGTTTAAAACAACAAGAAGCAGAAGTAACTAACAAATGTGTTGAGCAGGAGTATTGTTAGAGTATAATGACAGCGTCATTTTCTACATCTTTTTGTTCTTGATTGTTGTGAAATCATTTTTACCATATAATTTATGGCATCTTAGGTTATGTTGTTCTGATCCTATCTTGCTTTGACTACCTTTCCTGCTCAGCTGACAAGAACATCAGGAAGTCCAGAGCAGTCAAAACCAAGACCAAACAAATGAGCCTTTATAATCATAATTTTAATTGTAAAATTAGACCAAGTCTGATGGCAAGTCAGTCTTTTGTTCACCTCAACACACATGTCCTAAACCATGGTTTTGATGTATTAAAATGAAAAGAAGTCTTCACTGGCACTCTAAGCTTTCACAACAATGATTCTTTATAGTTCCATGGTAATTATAGAAAAATGTTCATTTCTTTGTTATCTTCTTAGCAATTCAGAACATATAAGGATGCTACATAAAAATATGTATGAGAACAAATAAGAAGGATACTTTTGATAACCTCATGGCCAAAGAAAGATCATGTTCTCTAGTTTTTGTATATTTTATAAATAGTTGTTAAGGAACAGAGAATATTTGGTATACATATATAAATGGATAATCTGTGGTAGCAGCCTACAGCCCCATAGGTAGTGTTATCAGCAGAACCTTAGACATGTTTAATGGTAGATGCAAGCATTCTGTTAATTTGGTTAAAGGATGAATATCCATCAGCCTGTTGAGTGGTGAGCTGTATACCTGTCTAGCCTTCTCAAGAGCACAACTTGGAGCAGTCTTTCCACTCTGGGTGTAGTAGGATGGCTCCACCCAGGTCAGAGGTTATTGAATTTCCTCAAGCAAGCTTTTGTCCCAAGGAAACTCTGGAATCCCTGTCATTTACACCCTGGCCCTAACTCCCTTCTTGCACAACCAAGACACTACAATGAGCCCTATGTCACTGGTCTTATGCTGGTTATCTGATTTCCAGCTGTGCTACCAGGATTAGAACTTTCTAACAGAAGGACACAGGGCCATTTCTAAGCATTGGCTGGCTTTTGATTTACAGACCTACCAAAATAGAAGGATCATATATTTTTTTTAATTATATAAGGAAATCCAGTCAATTTCAGATCCTCCAAAAGAAATAGGATTTTCTTTTGTGTTTCCACATGTTTGATATTTTTTATACCAGAATGTACTGTGAACGTTTTTCATATGCTCAACATATAAGATGTACTGAGGAAAAATTACAAAGTTTAGAATTTCTTTTTATTTCTCCAGTCCATGGAGATTGCTGAGCCTCACTGTTCCTAAAGGTAAACGTATTAGGAACATCATATGCCCCAGATTTTTCTGATGAAACATGCTGCGCCTGTCATGTCCAGGTGCAATCAAGATTATGTTAATCTCGTTTGGAAACTTGTGCTTGATTTAAGGAAATTGTGAAATGAGACCCTGTCTCTTAGCGCTTGTCTTTCTTCTCAAGAGGGAGAAGCAGCGATCACGTTGCATTGAAGCGCTCCAGCTGCAGTTTAAAACTCTTCGCTTTTTATTCTCTCTTTAAATTGAGAACACTTCGTCTCTATTTTCTATTTAATAATCCTCAAGGATTTGACGATTGTTTGGAAGATCATTCCCAGGTTTCTCTTTTTGACACTTTACAAATCTGCTCCTTCGAATTTTAATCATTTGTTTAGCATTTCAGCATCCCGGCATCTCTCTCCTGATTGCAGTGGACAATAGTCTCTCCACATACCTGAGACTATTGTCCTCAAATAGTAGACAGGGAAGATTAAAGAACCTACTTTCCTCTCTGGATGACAATATAGCACTAGATCTTAAGTTCTCACACTTTTAAGAAGTAGAACAGAAACTCATTTAAGAGCACAGACTTGAGGACCATATTGCCTGGGTGTGTGTCCCAGGTCTGCCATTCAACTAGCTATGTGATCTTGAGCAAACTATTGAAACCTGTTTCACACTTTCCTCAACTGTAAAATGTTATCACTGTCTCTCCCTTGCATTATTCTGAAGAATTGATTAGTGGCTCAGCATATGTAAAGGATTTCAAAGAACACTTGCAAGTGGTAAGTATAGTTACTAAGTTTCAAAATCAAAAACTATTTGTCCAGATCCATGCTGGAAGCCTATTCTGAATTCCAGATGTCCTGTTTGTAGTAATTTAAAATGCCAGCCCTTTGTGTTTTTATTTTGACATTAATTAACTTGCCTTTTCTCCTAAAAATGTAAGGCCTGGATATGTCAGTTCATACAATTCTTTTTAAAGATTATCATTACCCCTAGAGATCATAAGCTCCCTTTTACCTCCTAAAACTGTTTTTGGGATTAGGAAAACTGAGCTTTTGTAAACAGTGACCAATCATCTTGTTTGCCTGGAACTAAGAGGTTTCTTCAGACCTAGGGCTTTTATTGTTAATTTTGGGAATATCTTTTGGGAAATGGTGGTTAGTTTAAATGTACTGCAGTTCATAAGGTAAGGGTAGAAGAGGGAAAAGAAGAAGTGTGTAGTACTAATCTCATCAAATAACTCATGGCACAGCACTCGCTTGTTGACTTGGTTATTTTAAGCAGTGCTTGGGGATTAAAACTCCAGCCTTGCACATGCTAAGCACACGTGCTCTGTCACTGAGCTACACCCTAGCCTGTGGCTTTAATTTTTGACTCTTGCATTCCCTGGTGAGAATCTGAAAGTGGAATTGTGCTGAACTAATTAATTTTAAATGTCAGGCATTTGGACTTCATTTTTTGCTGTTATCGTCATCTGTGGGATATATTCCTCCTCCTCCATTTTATGTGGTTCTGCCTTTCCCTGATCATTTGTGCTTGTTATTTTCCTTTTAGGTCAACACAAATCAAAACATACTCATGGGATAATGCCCAGGTTATCCTGGTTGGGAACAAATGTGACATGGAAGATGAGCGGGTCATCTCAACCGAGAGAGGCCAACATTTAGGAGAACAGCTGGGTAAGAAACAAATTAACGAAAGAACTTGGTAATTATTTGTAACATAGGGTGGAGCTAATGAACATTCGTCAACAGACAAGCAGCTCATGCTCTACAAGCATTCCGTGGGTTTCTTCCTGTCTGTTGTGGCGTTGGTTTAATCCAAGCACAATCACAGGAGCAAAAGTGATCCCCACAATGTTGGGGTTAGCACAAAGTATTCAGATTCTTAGTCATGAGAAATGGGGCTTCTGTTATTTCTTCAGGCGTTTTGCTTCATTCTTGCACATCATTTTGCATTGAGTGAGCATTTTATTTTATTCTGTAATTATTTTTTCTTTTAAGGTTCTGTTAAAGGATGATAATGACGCTGAATAGGTTACATCCTTGATTTTGGTTTTAGGGACATCACTGATAAGCCACGTTACTGTCACAAACTTTATGAGACTCACTCTCCTCATCTCTCATGAATGAGTATCATCCCAGCACTCTGGGAGGGTAAGGCAGGAGGATTATAAATTTGAGCCCAGCATAAGCAAGCGAGCCACCTACTAAGATCCATTTTTAAAAAAATGTGCGCATGCACAGACACACACACACACACACACACACACACACACACACACAGAGCTAAGAAGGTAGGTTGGTGTGTGACGGCCTTAGGTTCAGTCCTCAGTATCAAAAAAGAAAAAGAATATAATTAGCATAACTTATGCCTACTTTACCAAGCCCTTGTAGATAACATCAAATGAGATAATATGAGAGCTTTGGAAACAGCAAACCCATTTCAAACACAAACATTGTATCTAAACAGCAAAATGCTAGAGTAAGACAGAGTTTCAATGTAAAGTAGGAACTGAAGACCGATTAACTTGAGGCATTAATACCAACCATCTATTATATACCCCCCATTGTGTCAGATAAAATTGGGGATCCAAAAAATTGTGATTCACAGTTGCTGGGTTCAAACTGCCATCGGCCAGGTAGGGAGATTAGAGATACACACAAGAAAACAAAAATAAGGCCAGGGATTTAGCTCAGTGGTTCTGCCCTCTGCCTCGCAAGTGCAAGATAATGAGTTCGATCCCTGCTTCCGAAAGAAAAAGAAAAACAAATAACAAGACAACAAATTCAGGTCAATGAGAAGTTGATGATCCAGAACGTAGATGCTGAGAGGAAAGCAACCAGGAGAAAGAGGCTGATCCCTGATGAGAAAGACGGCCAGGAAGAGGGTTGGAAGAGACCTGGACAGAGACAGGCAGGGCAATGCAGAGAAGACACCCACAAAAGTAGTGAATGGGAACTCTTGAGTGAGGAGAGGACACAGAAATCATATGCGTTAAATGCAAGCTATGGCTAAACGCCCCTAAAGAAGATTCAGATTTGAAAACACCCAAGAAGAGAGAAGGCATTGTGAGTAAACTGAAAGGTGGAGAGTAAAAATGTTAAGACCTAACTTGGTGTTCTGCAAGTGAGTTGTAGATTTCAGCTGTAAATGTTAAAGAACTAGAATTCTTTGTTTATGTGCCTAGTCATGTTTTCTCTAGAACAAGAGAATGTTGAAAGACTTTCAGCAAAGAAGAGCCAAACAGTCCAACCTTTTTGGCCAGGACCTGCAGTAGGAAATATATTCAATTGAGCAATCCAGTGCATTTGTAGAGGATGAAGCAAAGTTTCACAAAACAGATTTTACCTTTATAGATAAGATTCATGCTGCACTCTTACTCATTATCTTCTTCTTAAAATGATGGTTTGGGGCTAGGGGTTTAGCTCAGTGGTTCCATCGCCTGCCTCGAAAGTGCAAGGTCCAGAGTTTGATCCCTGGTATAAAAAAAAAAAAAAGATGGTTTCAACTCTCACGTGGATTCTAGTAGTAAGTCACAACCTATAGTTGGAAAACACTGCTACCAAAGGGATGATCTGGGCTTACTTTACTGTGGTTGTGCCATGGGTGGTAAAGCAGAGCCCCTCTCAGTGGGCCAGCCCATCTCCTGGTGATCTCGTAACTGAACCATGCGCAGTCCACCCTGAGAGCTTGACCATTTCCACATGAGATCAATGAGCTCACTGCAATAAAAGTGATCACTCAATGAAGTAATTGTCACTCGGCTTATGTTTACTCTTGCAATAGGGTCTCTCCCCATTCTATCAATTTAACAATGTTTTAGAAAGAGCCTGAAAAACAGGGCAACCTTTCTCAGTATTCTCAGTAAAGTAGGAATGGAGAATTGTAGGTCTCCATGGAAAGAAAAAAATGGAACCCATAAGAGCCTTGGAGGATGGCTTCCTGAGATCATCTCTCCCTGTATTTCTTGACTGGCCAAGCAAATGCCACATGGGAGAAGAAACTCCCACAAAGATGCAGGCTGTCTCTATAAATAAACCTAAAAACTGTCTGGTTCAAAGAGAAATAGCTTAGAACCAAGAACTGGTCAATGTCATTAGTATAAAAGATTCAGGTAATGGGGTACATTTTTACCAGTCTAATAACCTGCTTTGGTATTGACAAGATCAGGTTATGGAAGGGATATTAGGAGGATGGAAATGCAGGAACAACATGACTTTCCTGAAAACTCCACTGTCCAGCATTCGCAATGACCTTCCTTCTCCATTCACTGTATAGATGTGGGAAAGTTCCAGATATAATGAGGCAGAAAGGTTTTATATTCCTGTGCAAATTCTTTTCCTGGTTTCTAATTGATTTTTTACTTGCTAGTCAATAAATTTAGCAGTTGTCATGGCAACTGACAATGCATGTTCTTGGAGAGCCATTTACCTCTTTCAGTGTGATTTGTTCACCTCATGACTACACACGTCTATAAATGATCAAGAGAGATAATTTGGAGGAAAACACTCTCAGAGTCTCAGTTTGCTGATTTTAAAGGGCTTTACTTAATTTTTTTAAAGTTACTGGCAAAATTCCAGAATATCATCACACAGCAAGGTTAGGCATTGTTTTAAAGGTCATTACATATCTTGACAGATGGCTCAAAATAACTGCCTTACTGATTTGGCTACAGTTAAATCTCCATCATGGGTGGCTATATCCATACATCATTTGCCCATCCTAATTAGGGTACTTGATGGAACTGAGTTGTAGCAGAGCTCTAAAATTCCTCTATGGCAGGGCCAGGGATTTGGCGCAGTGGTTTCACCACCTGCCTCGCAAGTAATATTCCTCTATGGCAAATACCTTTGTCAGTATAATTTAGTTCACCAGACATTGATTGTTTACAATATGACAGGTGCTTGGAATGAAATTGACAAATAACCCTGCTTTCCAAGAAACATTAGAGTGCCTGCAACAGCTGTGAACACAGAGATTTTCTCGCCTTAGCCCACCTGGTCATTTTGTTTCATTTGGTCCTGCTGAGCACTCCCTCCTTTTTAACTCTACAACTTTGGTTTCTGTGGCACAGCGCCCTCCATTCTTTACCCTCTCCATGGTAGACTTCTGTTCTCTGTCCTTGGTAGGTAGACTTCTCCTTTTCCTTTTGCTCCTTCCATTTTGGCTTCCCACCTCTTCCGTAGCACCACACTTCTTTCTCTACACTTGCACCTGGATATTCCTGTCCATGCCATGGTTTTCACTCTGCCTATGGATTAATGACTCCAAATCCTGTCCTGGCACAGACCTCACCAGCATCTTCAGGCTTCTGTGTCCGCCTGCCATCTGTGTACATTCAGCAGCTCTGATTTAGAATCACTTTCAGCTGCTTCTGCTGGATTTTCAAATGCATGCCCATCAACCCCCACTCAGACCTGCTACATCAGAGTTTCTGAGATAAAGCCTGCACATCTGCATTTGCAGCAGATACTTTAGTGGCTTTTTACAATATTAAATTTCTAGAACTCTGACTTCAGTGGCAGGGAGTATTTGGAGAGAATAGAAAATCACTGCTAGAATTGAATATAATCCTATGGCACTGCATGCTTTTAACATTTAGTTGATAGGCATGTACCTATAATAATTTGTAAGAATGTTTTGTGTGTTAAAATTTACATAAAATTTTAAATATGCCAATTATGCTGGGTGTGGTGGCATATGCCTATAATACTAGTGAAAGCCTGTCTCAAAATTTTAAACAAGAAAGGTGTGGTAGCACACATCTGTAATCCCAGCTCTTGGAAGCTGATATGGGAGGATTTCAGTAAGTCTGAGGACAGCCTGAGCTACCTAGTAAGTTCAGGCCCTGGACTATATAGTGAGAGTCTGTGACCAAAAACCATTTTTTTAAATAAATAAATAAATTACATGGCTGAAAATGCAATTCAGTGGTAGAATATTTGCCTAGCATTCAAATCCCTAGGTTTCAATCCTTAGTACTGAAATATATATATGAGAGACAATTATAAATATGTACAGTGTTAAATTTTAAGTTTTAGATGTAAAACTACAAGGTGTGACTGAAAAATACAGAGAATGTTTAAATTTTAAAAAATTGATTACAGTGAAAGACACATTGCCATTAACCCCCCTCAAAATACTCCTTGCTTTGAACACACTTGTCCTATTATTCTTGACATTTTCTGAAGCAATGCTGGAAGTACTCTTTTTTTTTTTTGGTTTTTGTGGGGGCTTTTTTGTTTTGTTTTTTGGTTGTTTTTTTTTTTTTTTTTTTGGTTTTTGTGGGGGCTTTTTTGTTTTTTTTTTTGGTTTTTTTTTTTTTTTTTTTGGTTTTTGTGGGGGCTTTTTTGTTTTTTTTTTTGGTTTTTTTTTTTTTTTTTTTGGTTTTTGTGGGGGCTTTTTTGTTTTTTTTTTTGGTTTTTTTTTTTTTTTTTTTGAGACAGGGTCTCACTATGTAGTTGAGACAGACCTGGAATTTACTATGTAGCCCAGGCTGGTCTCCAACTCACAGCGATCTTCCTCAGCCTCCTGAGTGCTGGGATTACAGGCATGTGCCACCACGCCCGGCTTGGAAGTCCTCTTTCATGTCTTCAGTTGCCTTGTCAGAACTCCCTGCCTGTCCTGGAATTTTACCTTTCATGTTCATTTTGACTTTGGGGAAGGGACAGAAGTC